TTTCTGATATTATTGGTCCCTTATGTTACACCTCACACATCAATTTGGTCCCGTCGTTAGGTTCAGTCAAAATTTTCCATTAGATTGTTGATGTGGACATCGCATGGATTAAATAATGTTTTAAACATTTTGGGTTTATCACAAATGGTCCTCGAAGTGTGTGAAATTATCACCTTTGGTCCTTTATATTTTTTTGTCTAGCATTATTGGTCCTATATATATATATTTAAAATATTTTAGAAAAAATTTAATTAAAAAAAAGAGCAAATTTTCAAAACATAATTTGTTTTTTATTCAAATCCACTTGGCATGTTATTATTGGACATGCCATATACATGTCGCATAAAATTCGTTATGTTCTATTGAAATTTCTGTTAAATTGATGAAAATTTCAATAGAACCTAACGGATTTGACGTGACATGTACGTGGAGCGTACATGTCCAATAGTAACATGCCAAGTGGATTTGAATAAAAAAAATTCATGTTTTGAAAATTTTTTCTTTTTAAAATATTTTAAATGTTAAACTATTTTTTGAAGGGTTTAGGGGTTTTCAACAAAACCTAACGGATTTGATGCGGAATGTATGTGGAGCCTACATGTCCATTAATAACATGCCAAGTGGATTGGAATTAAAAAAATGTATGTTTTGAAATTTCTCTTTTTTTAAAAAGATTTTAAATGTTAAACTAATATTTTTTTTTTTATAAAAACATTTCTTCATTTATATCCGCTTGTCATTTTCTCATTGGCTATGTGTGCACCACATATGTGTCATGTCAGCAATTTAACAAAAAAATTTAACGAAATCTCACGGTGGGATCAAATTGATGTGTGAGGTGTAAAATAAAGCTCCAATAATGTCAGAAAAAAAATATAAAGGACCAAATGTGATAATTTCGCAAACCTCAGGGACCATTTGTGATAAAACCTAAAATATTTAAAACATTGTTTAATCCAAGTGGCATCCACGTCAGCAATCTAACGGAAAATTTTGACGGAACGTGACGACGGGACCAAATTGATGTGTGAGGTGTAACATAAGGGATCAATAATGTTAGAAAAAAAAATATAAAGCACCAAAGGTGATAATTTGAAAAAACTCAGGGACCATTTGTGATAAAAAGCATCTAAATAATGAGACAATTGTTGAGAGTGTTTGTGTTTATAAGGAGTTGGGCTACTCCCCTTTGCCAATTGGTTTTGGGTTGGAACCTCAACTTCCTTCATGGTATTAGAGCAAGACTTCACGTGTTGGGCGCAACAGCCACTCATTCTCCCACATCACTCAATATGTATTGTCCACGTGTTAGACTTGAAAGTTAGCCACATGTGCGGGGGCGAGTTGAAAGTGTTTGTATTTATAAGGAGTTAGGCTACTTCCCCATCGCCAATTAGTTTTGGGGTGGAACTTCAACTACCTTCAATATCGACAACATATAGAGATCACATTGATATTACGGAACAATTTGTTACGGTGGAGAACTTTATTTTTCGACCAAAAAAAAAAAACCAAATGGCAAGCATGAATAACGAATTCTTTCTGGGTTGTAGTGAATCGAAGGGCAAACATTCCTTCCTCAAATCACAAAAACTGTGACCATGAACTATTTTTGGTCATTTCTACAATTTTCCTTCAGATTTGGAGCCTTATATATCTGCCGCATTTGTGCAATTCTGTGCAAACTTCTCTATCTCATTTGTGAGATTTAGCAGTGACAACAAATTCTGCTGCTGTTATCGACATTGAAAGCAACAAAACAAATCCCTTGCTATTAAGAAAGGTTTGCTCAATAAAAATGCCTTCAAAGTCGTGTAAGCGAAAACAGTAGGGCCATTATATAACCCCATTGATGTGCGTTCTTTTTTGTGTCCAAGTAATTAAGCACAGTGGAATGCTTTGTATACATGTATTATTGGTGGAGATGTGAAGCACACCATCTACACAACAGGTTCAATTTACACAGCTCTGCCTTTCTCTTGCAGGTTCTTTCAATGATCGAGCAATTAGAGCTTTGCTTGTTCTTGCAATTGCTCCTGTTCAAGGAAACCGTAATTCGGATCAGAAATACTAACAAAAAAAAGAAGGCAGATTTAAGTCCAATTAAATGTAAAATGAAAATTACACTGCATCCCAAAGTTGTGTCAATCTGTGCATTGCATGATGCACATCAAATTAAAAATTAAAAGTGCATCTTAGGAACAATTGAAGTGGCACTGACCTCTGTGACGAAGAAGGCATGGAAACCATATGGAACTCTATGTGGCAATTCAACAACTGCGACCGGGTCAGATGACATTGTCTTTGCATCAATTACATGGATTGATGATTTTCTGCATGGTGAAAATTCAAGATTAGATTGCAGTCTGTCCTCAAGAAAATTCAACTTCAAAAGCAAGCTGCATAACCACTGGTAAACCCAGTTTACTCTACTTGTAAAGCATGAACACCATAGCTATAATAAAAGTGATGACATTAAGATCGACGATATATATTAAGCCGGAGTTAAACTGAGACTCACGCTTGTTTAGAGTATGGAATTTAAGATTCAATTTTTAAGAGAAAGCATTATGTGGTACTAAACAGTCCCTTTTAACGTGAGAGACTAAAATATTACCCAGTTTTCTCGTCATGTACAAAGAATATTAAGTAGCCATCATCTTCTTCAGAGGTAACTCCGGGAACACGAGGGACAAAAATAGCCTCAGAGCCAAATCTGCCAGGTCCCAGGTCATAGAGGCCTTGGACGTTTCCTCCAACCTCAATTTTTGTTTTTCCAAGCTCTGGTGCAGCATGCAGGTCAAACTTCACTACCCCTGTCACCTTTGCAATGCTGTCCAGTAAGGTTCCATACACATAACGCTGCTTCCTGCTTTCACACAAGTTAATTAGTGAAAAGAAGTGAAAATGAATATTACACTAGCTTTTCCAAAATGATGGCAATAGTACCACACACACACACACACACACACACACATATATGTATATATTTTTACTTTTCAATCCAGAAATCTCCCTGCGAGGACAGGAGATGCATACCTGCCAGTGTAGCTCTCATTCACCCTGGGAAAATCCACAGCTGATTCTGATAGTTTCTTCTGGGATGCTAGACCAGTTTTTAAATTGAATCTCATCTCGTACCTGAAAATAGTTAGAACAGTCAGAAGCACCATCATGTCTATTAGCAATTTACATTAGTAACACGGGTCAAAATCTCTTACAGCTCATTTTTGAAGTTTTCAAGCTTTTCTTTGACAGGCCCATTGACCATGTCTAAATCTGGATTCTCAAGGCGGCATGTGATTAAAACAATTTCATCCTCCTCCTCCCAAGCATTAGCTATAAAAAAAAATTAAGTCACAAAAACAGTCTGAATGTAGACAGTAAAAAGCTTTAGGCATAGCTTAATCACCAACCATGAAAGATCACATACATTTATTTATTGCTAAACGACATTAACTATACCATACCAAGTTACACATTTGAACAAAAATCCATAATGGTTAGTTGGTTTAGTTCCATGGGA